GCGCACGACAAAAGCACGCCAGCAAAACCACGGCGAGAAAACCGCAAGGTCAAAATCGCGCCCACAGAAGCGTGCCGACAAATGCGCGCTGACGAAAGCGCGCCATCAAGAAACAACGCAAAAACAACGTAATAACAACATACTAACCCTAACCCTAACCCTAATCACGCTTTTGTGGGTGCGGTTCTGTCGGCGCTCTTTTGTGGGAGTGCTTTCGACCTTGTGGTTTTCTTGCCACGGTTTTGATGGCATGCTTTTGTCGGACACGCATTTGACGGATCATGGTAGGAGGTGCTGTAGCCAACTCCCCTGCTAGCTGTTTGTTCATGTTGAGATTCACCTCTGCATGTAGACACAATGCTGCTTGAGTGATTAAAGTGTAGAGGGAATTGACTTGGTAGAACTGTTCATCATTAGAGCCGAGGTGGCGCAGTGGTTAGAGTGCAGTACTGCAGGCTACTTCAGCTGACTGCTAGCTGCAGTTCGGCAGTTCAAATCTCACCAGCTCAAAGTTGACTCAGCCTTCCATTCTTCCGAAGTTGGTAAAATGAGAACCCAGATTGTGGGGGGCAATAGGCTGACTCTGTAAACAGCTTAGAGAGGGCTATAAAAGCACTATGAAGTGGTATATAAGTCTAAGTGCTATTGCTATTATGTTCTTTAGCTTAGCAAACAGAGATTTGGGGGATGAACAAAGTGCATTTTCTTCCTAAGTCTTTGCAAAAGCCTAAAATGATTTTTAAAGGAAAATGTTTCTCTTTCCCCAAATTCTTTGCAGATGACAAGGCAAACAGGAAATGGCATGGAAAATAGCTCTCCTCCTGCTATTTTGCATATTTAATAGTTGTGTGTATGCATGTATTGCAGAGGAAGAAGTAGACGTTTGCCTGCAAATAAAGCTTTTCTTTTGTCAGTGCAAAAGTCATCACTCATGCCTACTCCACAGGGAAAATCATAAACCATACTCATTGCAGTTTCTTTTTCCCAAAATACAGCTAGTTTTCTAACAAAAGAAAAATATATATTATTTTAGTATTGGGAGGGTTACCAGTTTGATATCCCTTGTTCGTGTTAACATAAGAAAAAATATTTTTTCTCAACCCTGTGAAGTTTTTATAATGATGTTTTGATATTTTTGAACTTTTAAAGTTCCATACAGTGAAGTATTTCCCACAGTAACAGCTTGGCACTATTACTTTCCCTGTAGCAATGCTTTGGCATTTAAGAAAGAATTTAATTTTAGTGAATTATGATTCTCCCAGTAATAATTTTTGCAATCATTTTCTCACAGCTGCAATTCTCCTCGCTCACCTTCCTTTTAACAGGAGCATATAGGCACTTTTATCCAACAGCATGACTTACTAGTGCAATTAACGGTACTGATTACATAATGTAAATTAATTTAAGTTAGCACCAGTATGAGATTGACGTGAATGTTATGCCTATTTCGCTGGGCAAAAAAATCCACCAGGGCTGTAATGGAATTATTTAAACAGACAGAAACCAAATTTGTAGGAGAAGATCTATTGCCACTGAGTTGAGACTAGTAACTGCCAAGGGAGAGCTTTTTCCAGGGTTGTTCCTTACTGGTGAAATATTCTGTACAAGAAATGTTCTGTATTCTTTAAGACTACAATTGGAACCAGAATTTCTGTTGCCAAACAAGGTGGTTAAGTGAGTTGTGCCTGGTTTTATGTGCCTTGTTAAGCAAATCACCACAATTTTTAAATGAACAATGCAGTTATTAATCGAATCCAGTTTCCCCCATTGACATGGAGATGTTGCAACCATCTTAAGTGGAAAGAACAGTCATGATTGTTACTTTTTTACGTGCTGTTGAATGTTCACTAAAGGAATGGTTGTAAGTGAGGGCCACATATCAATGCTTCTATTTAGAGATTCACTGGGAAATTCTTACTGATTATTCTAGAAATCTTAGCTTTCAGACAAGTTTCTTTAGCATTATATATGTGGACCTGGTCCTACTGTTAAGATTTTAAGGGAGGTGGTATGCCTTTGGTTTATTATTAATCGATTGATTGACTTTGCAGATTTTAGTTCATTATAAAATGAATTTATCATTTCAGTTCTAGCCTTAAGAATGACTTTAGGAATATAATTGAATGGTAATATAATAATATGGTTATTAAATATAGGACATATATACTGTGTTGTTTTAACCATTTAGTCGTATCTGACGCTATAAAGTCACCAAGAGACTGAGTGATTATAACAACAACATACTGTACTGTGTGGTATAGATAATGGGTCTGTTACTTTAATATTAGATTTATTTCATCTTTTTTGCCATATTCTTCTACGTAGAAATCTAGTTATAGACATATTAAAAATATACCATATTTTTGGAGTATAAGACACACCTTTTTCCCTCAAAAAAGAGGCTGAAAATCCGGGTGTGTCTTATACTCTGAATACAGCATTTTTGCCTCCCAAAACCCCGCCCCCTTCAACCAAATGGCCATTTTTTGCTCAATTCCCCTCCCCAAGCA